TTCATGAGCATATTGCTCTGGGACTTCACTAGGAGCAAGCTGGGAGTGGTGTTCAAATCTGGCATGTGCTCGCCAACAGAAATGGGCTGAAGAGATGGCTCAGCAGCTAAGAACACTTGTTCCTCTACTCCAGGACCAAGTTTCGTTCCCAGCACCCAATCTGTAGCACGATCAATAAAAATCCAGAGACAGAAATTGGGATTCAACACAAGGGTCCGAAAAACAAAAACATCCAGCCATTGTCTCTTACCTTGACCTCAGTTCAAACTGGCAATCCTGCTTCCAGGACTCTCAGAAAGAGACTGAGTGAGAACTGTCTCCTCCCGTCTTACATTCCTCTCCAGTGCTGGGTTTACGGTTGTGCATCAACCACTGCCACTCAGTTTCTTGGGCAAACTAGTGTGACTACTGGGATTAAAGGTGTGTGTCACTGCTGCCTGGTCTGTAAGGCTGAACAGTGAGGCAAGCTTTATTTATTAAAATACAAATGAAATATCACTACACACATCATCCCTGAACTCATATCAGGTGACTCGCAAACACCTGGTGATCTGATGCCCTCTTATGGCCTCTGCAGACACCTCCACAAAGTGGGAATCATGCACCACACACACACACACACACACACACACACACACACACACACGGATACATACACATAACATAAAAATAGTTTTAAATTGATGGAAAGTGTAGATAAGGGAGGTAGAGAGTCTTAAATAAGTTAGATTGCTGGGCAGTGGTGGCGCACACCTTTAATCCCAGCACTTGGGAGGCAGAAGCAGGCAGATCTCTGTGAGTTCAAGGCCAGCCTGGTCTACAAGAGCTAGTTCCAGGACAGGCTCCAAAGCTACAGAGAAACCCTGTCTCAAAAAAACCAAATAAATAAATAAATATAAAAAAACAAAAATGAGTTAGGTAAGTCTTCTTCTAGAAAGGAAGGTTCACAGGCAATGTATGACATTGGTGGAGCAAGGTCAAAGGTTCCATAAATGTGCTATTTGGAACTCAGAGTCACAACCGACAAAGAGTCAAAATGTTTCAAATTGGAGAGCTCAGAAAAGGGGGCTTGCAGGTAAGAGTGGGCTAGGCGAGAACCCAGCAGCCCTCTTCACCCTCTGTTCTGCAGTACAGCTCGGGGTTTTGCTCTGTGACCAAATTCTCTGAATAAAAATAACCTAAATGGTGTATATTTAGACATTTAAAATACTGTAGAATGTTTTAGACTGAGGTGTGCTGACGAGAGACTAAGGGTTATAATTACATTTTATGAGATGTTGTCTTCTTGCTTTGGGTTTAAGCTCCACTGTCATCATTTTAATTTGGCTTACAAATCTGGAACAAAAACGTGAGAGAGCTGGAGCGAAGGACATAGGGGAAGACAGAACAACTAGACGGTCCCCAATGAATTCAGCTGCCCTTTCTCAATCACTCTATGTACCTTTGATTTTTATGTCCGTCTGGAAAAATTAAATTGGAACTCCCCTTTATCACTTCTTCATTCCATTTTTCCTGTTGTGAAAAGGGCAAGAGCTTAATATGCTGCCGACGAAAAGCTGCAGGGGCAGCTGGGCACACATGGGCAGATGCCCGAGTCTCTGGGCAGCTGGCTGAGTCCTCTGCTCCATTTCCAAAGTGTGGGCTTGCAGGCAGTGGTGCAACCAGGGGGCAGGTGAGGGGGGACAGGCTGACAGGGCATCCTGCACTTCATTCTCATTTAGTGAAAAGCAGAAGGAATTCTTAATAGCAAAAGGAGGCGTCTTCCCACTAACTTTTTATTCTTTAACTAGGAAGATCTATTTTTTTACCCTTCAAGAATAAGTCTTAGTTTTTTTAAAAAAAAAAAAATCTTAAAAGCTTTCTTTCTTTTTCTTTTCTTTTTTTAAAGAGATCGATCCAAGCCACTGAAATTGCAGTCCATTCATGGCAGCCCTGGCCTCCCCAGGGAGCATGCTAGACACTCTTATCTCAGGTTATCATACTCTGAGGGTCCCTGCTCAGAGCCTGCACCTTAAAGGGATGCTCAGGGGTAGTGTGTGGCCAAGCAGTTTGGGAGGTCTTTTTGTAAGGTGCATGTAAGGGATTCAATGTCAAGAAAGCTGAAGCGGTTCTCTGTCTCTGCTTTAAGCCACCTGGGGAGCATAGTGAAAATACTCACGACCAGCCTCACCTAGCATAATTGAAGCAATTCCTGGGGACACGTGTGGGGATCTGTTTCGAAAGCACCCCGGGAGGTCTCAAAGTGCAGCCAAGGCTGAAGACATGTACTCAGCTACGCCCCGGCTACTTGGGTAGACAGAGGACCTGTGGAGCCCTCTGTGCTGCCTCCCGTCTCCTTTGAAAGCAAACCGCACGCACTCTCTTGCCGAACCCACAGCACTGGCGGGAGGGTTTCAGACCCCCCCAATCCTTAAGTAATAAAGTAAGTTCACTGGAGAGATGCTTGGTTTCTGGGCACGACACAAAAGAACACTGCACAGGGCACTGTGGGAGTCCCAAGAGCTGCTGCCCTCAGACAGGAAGCAGCTTCAGTCCTAGCTAGCAATGCTTTAGTCAAGCGTGGCTGGAGCACTCAGGCAGAAAGCGTGGTCACTGGGAAACTAGTCAATCTGATTTCCTAGTTTCATAACTGAGAGACAAAATAAAATAAGGGTTGACAGAAGGTGCGCATGTTTGAAATGCTTTCGCGTGAGCGCATCGCCCCAGCCAAATGCTAGCCTCTTGAGGCATAAATTAATTTAGCACAAATGCATGCCTGGTTGGGTCTGGAGCCTGTTATGATGATCCATAAGTGTTAGACTTTGGGACAACAGCTTCAGGAATGACATTTCTCCAACTAGCTGTGATTTTTTTTTCCCCCCCTCAACAGAATGTTTTTCTTGGAATGGCTTTCCTGGGAGGGTTTGCAGACACCATTCTGGTCATGTGTGCAGGCCTTGAAGAGCACTTCTATGAATATAGAGTGGCAGCTGTGCGGGAAGACAGGACGCTCTTTACGCAGGGAGTGTGCGCCCCAGTAAGCATATTGCCACGTCCGCGTGCGCCAGCCGCGCCCCCCGGTGCACCAGCCTTACCTGGTACTGCTGCCCGGTACAGAGAATGAGGTGGTCGTAGAACACGATCTCGTTCTTGGAAACCACAACGTGCTTGGCTGCCCGGTCTATGCCCGTCATTCTCCCCACCACAACGTTAACCCAGGAGCACAGCGACATCAGCGCATAATCTTTATCACTAAAAGAGTGGCTGCAAAGAGAGACGCTCCATCAGTGTGACATTTGAGCAGCTGACAGCGGGCATTAATTAGACATCTGGCGAGCTGGTTCAAGTCCCCCTACTGAGCTGGGTCTGTGCTCTCGCTGTGAGCTTACCAGGACCAAGACTTAGAGATTTTTTTTTTCCCTTCTGAAACACTTAAGCCACAAATTGACATCCTCCTATTAAAGCTCGGTTGTTCCACCTGGCTTAGGCTGGCCCACCAGGGAAGGGGGCCTGACTGCGTATGTGAGATCACTTGGACTCCCTTCTGCCCCTGTTTCAGGGTGATCGAAAAAATCTACTTGAACTCTTGAATTGTCGTACTGGCCACAGACTTCAAACGAATGTAGAAGAAGGAATATGACACTAGGCGGAACCCCCAAAGGCAGGTCTCAGATTCCAAAGATGTGGAAGACCCTTCCTTTTTGCTAATTTGATGTAAAGGACTCATTCCTTGTGCCTGAACGACAAAACCCATTTGTGGGAAATGTCAGGGAGTTAAGTTCATAGCAAGTGCAATGCCTGGAGGTTTGGGAGCCCAGTATGAAGGGCAGGGGTGATTATGGGGAGACAGAACTTTTACACACATCAGCCTAGGGTGGGTGAGAGTGGTGGGGTTATGGTTACGGGCCGAACCGGCTTTCTTTCCTTTTTTCCTTTTTTGGGTTCTGTTTCAATTGAACACTGTTGTAAAGTAACAAAAGCAGAATTCTTGTGATTTCAGCTTACTTAGAGAGGTTTCTTTTCCCCCTTAGGTGGGGTTCTATAGAATTTTCTCAAAGGTTTCACCTCTTGCGATCCTGACCTGAAGGCCGAGACTCTGAGGTGGCAGGACAGCCGGTAATTTCATTTACACTGAGGCTGCATTATCTTTCCTGGGAAGAACCGTGCCAAGGTCTGTATCTTTCTTCTTCTGCCAATGAGCCTGGACCCCGGGGACCCTTTATCCCTGTCTCCTCACCTCTCGCTGTAGGACAATGAGCCCATCCTATGTGCCTCCACCTCTGTGAAAGGCGGACACGAGAATGCAGGAGCTGCTGTTTGGGGAAGCGCGATGCATACGTGAGGGCTCTTATTCTAAATAGTACTAATGATACATAATCCTGTTTACTTTCTTTGGAGGCAAACAGGATTCTGAAGTGGTAATGGGAGGACATTTTTTCTTTTTGATCCACACAGGAGTCTAGTCTCACTGCACAAAGAGAATTCTCATAATGGATGCACATTAGACCCCGTTAACGGGGCCTGTGAAAAGAGACGGGAGCACCAGGCTTTGTGTTTCTCCGTGAAACAACACTTAAAAACAAGAAAATTTCTTCTTAATAAAAAAAAAGGAAAATAAGGGGCTGGCGTGTCACAGGAAAATAATGGAGACTGATATGAAATCCTCTTTTAAAAAAAACCTGACAGTTTTACAAGAATATATGAAAGTTCAGCTTCCCACCCAGGCACATGGAGGGAACACACAAAGGATTGCTTGTATTTGCTATGCGGTCCTTACTACTGTAAGTCATCCAAGAGGAGAAAAAATTAAATATAGTTAGTGCCCGGGGATTAGTCTTAGGAGGATTTGCCCAGAGATAAAAGCTCTCTGGGGAAATTTGTGGGTGCCTAAGACAATGTTGTTTCTATTGACGGCGGGACAGTCCTGTCGGCAATGTCAGAATGCGTGTTTCCGAGCTGCAGTCTGAAGCTCTGTCCGGTGGGAGCTGACGCTCGGGAACACTCGGCTTTAAAGCTTTGCTGAGACACTGAAGGGAGCACTGGAGGCTGTGGTGATGTCCGTACAGTCTGTGAACTTTCTCAGTTTACAGCGCCATGCGTATGCCCACACTTTCCATTTCAGATGCTCATGCTCCTCTGGACCGTCTGTAATGTCCCCATTAGCTGAGTGGAACTATCTATTGCAAAATGCTATAGACCCCAACACAGCAGAGACTGCTCCATGGCTTCACGCCATCACCCGGGTCCTCTGGAGAGAGACAAGGAAGAACAGAGCCACACCGCTGACAGGCCATCTTCCACAAGCAAGCTGGGTACCAACTCAAACATCCCGGGAAAGGGGGCTGGGGGTGTAGCTCGGTGGTAGAGTGACTGCCTGGCATACACAAAAAGAAATAAAAATGGAAAGTTGTCTTCATAGAAAAATCTAGAAAAACAGCTGGACATGATGGCAGAGGCCTCCTTCCCAGCACTTGGAAGGTGGAGGCAGGAGAATGAGCATTTGAGGTCTGTCTGGGATCCACAGTGAGACTCTGTCTCAATACACAAACAAAAACATGATGGGGAAATTTCTGGGAGATGGCATAGCTTAGGTATCCTGGGTACAAGGTGTGGCCTTCTTGCCAACATCATACGGGCCCAAAACCTGACAGGAAGAGATAGCCCAAGCCCTTAGGTGCACGGTCGAAAGCCATTCCACAAAAGCAAATGTTAGGTCTGAGCAGATGCATGCCTCAAAGAGCCAGAATTTTTCAGAAGTAGAAAGAAACTTTGAGGTTTGTAGGGGATTAGCTGTGACACACTGGGAAGAAGGACCACGGCAATTAACTTTCAATTATTCAGGGTTGATTGCCCAATTAGTGGCTTTCTCCGGCTTCCTGCTCCTCTTCCTTCCCACACCTTCTTCCAGCTGCCTCCTAGGTACATCGTTAGCACCTCAACTAGAGGCTAGATGGGGGTGGGGGTGGGAGTAGGGGAGGTAATGGATTGGGGCGGTGAGAGGACAAAACGGCTATTTATAAAAAATATCAACAACAAGAATGAAGTACAGTACTAGAGACAAGTTCACGGTCGTGTTGAGAAGGAGGAATTTGGATTATTAGATCCGTGTATGTTATTTGCACTTATTACTATTGAACACCAGGATCCCAGACAAGTTCCTTTCTGAGGGCGGTTTGGAAGTCAGTGTCCTGTTCCGGCTTCAGCCTCTGGTTCCTCTGGCTGGTGGGTCTCCTTCTTCATGGAGAGGATATTTGCTGCACTTCCGAGGGGACCTTCATTTTACATTGTAAAGTTCCTGCTCTACTGGAGTGTAGGGTTTGGGATGGGGACAATAGACGCCATCTTAAAAAGAAAACTATGTAATATTTAGAAGGATTTCATGAGCCAGAAAAAAATGGAGCAGGCCGGGCGGTGGTGGCGCACGCCTTTAATCCCAGCACTCGGGAGGCAGAGGCAGGCGGATCTCTGTGAGTTCGAGACCAGCCTGGTCTACAGAGCTAGTTCCAGGACAGGCTCCAAAACCACAGAGAAACCCTGTCTCGAAAAAAAAAAAAAAAAGAAAGAAAGAAAAAAACGGAGCAGAGTAAGGCTTAGTTGAGTGTATTGACTGGTTGTCAACAAACAGGAGAGTGAGGGTAGACTGTGGGGGGGGGGGAACACATTTAAGAAAAAGAAAAGCATATGGAGAAACCCTGTCTCGAAAAAATCCAAAAAAAAAAAAAAAGAAAGAAAGAAAAAGAAAAGCAAAGGTCTGCTGTGTTTGGGTACATTAAGATTGCTAGTCTGGAGAGAATGGAGAGAATTGAAATAGTAAAAGATATTGAGGTCGTTTGAACGTAATTGGCCCTCATAGGCTCATAGGGAGCGGCACGATTACAAGATGTGGCTTCACTGCAATAGGTGTGGCTTTGTTGGAGCAAGTGTGTCACTGTGAGGGTCGGCATTGAGGTCTCATAGATGCTCAAGCCACGCCCAGTGTCCCAGATCACTTCCTGTTGCCTTCTGGGCAAGATGTAGGGCCCTCATCTTTTCCAGCAGCAAGTCTGCCTGACGTCACCATGTCACACCGTGATGATAATGGGCTAAACTGAATTGTAAACCACCCAATTAAATGTTTCCCTCTGTAAGAGCTGTCACGGTCATGATGTTTCTTCACAGCAACAGAACCCCTAACTAAGATAGAGTCAGTGAAAAAGGACAGACCTTATGGAGTTCCTGCATTCCAGAACATTATGTGATGACAAAAGCATTCTGGCAGTATGGCAGCATGCTAGCAACTCATTTAATTTCAATTATTTAAATGGAAACAGCTCCTTGCGGTTTGTAGCTACTCGACTGGACAAGTAGAGTTCCAGGAGGCAAGGAGCTGATATCACCTGAGTCGTGTGTGTGTGTGTGTGTGTGTGTGTGTGTGTGTGTGTGTGTGGTTCTGGGGACTGTGTTGAGAGGCAGAGAGACAAGGGTAGAGGTAAGGACACCACATTACTCCACGTCGCCACTCCAGCTGCTTATGCGTGTCACACCTGAAGAAAATCAGATATATTCTTCTTGTTATGTCATACTCGAACTTCAGATGGGTCAGAAACTTCCACCAAGCTGACTGACTTAAACTCACATCTCTTTGGAATCATGTAATTTACACAATGGAAGGCAGGACTGGAGAGCTTGCTCAGCAAGTAAGAGCGCTGTTGCTCATGCAAAGGGCCTGGGTTTAGTTCCCAGCACCCATGTGGTGGCTCACAACCTCTGGTTAGCTCTGCTTCCAGGGGACCTGCCACCCTATTTTGACCTTAGCAGGGACACATATGGAACACAGACATACACAGAGGTAAAATATCATACACATAAAAATAAAATAAATCTTTAAGAAATTAAAAGAAGAAATGAAAAAGGGAAAAGAGGTGTCCAAGGATCTATCCTCCCTTCCTGGCCAGGTCTTGGCGTTAAGTTGATTTTAACCAAAAATTCAGCATATTTTACTAAGCATATACTTTTCACAATCAAGAAAGCTCAAGTCCAAGAGAAACAAAATCCCTTGTCTAGACTATAGTGGCAGGGGTGATTCTAGATCAGCACACACACATACACACCCAGCTCAACTCCCACATACTTGCATTGTGCTGAATGACATTCTTCCAACATGTACGTGTGTGTGTGTTTGTGTGTGTGTGTGTGTGTGTGTGTGTGTGTGTGTGTGTGTATGCATGGTCTAATAAAGGTGGGATTGAAAACTTAGTGTGAAACACTTGCCTAGTATCCTTGAGTCCCCAGTTTGTATCCCCACCACTACAAAAGAAAGGCGCTAATTGAGAATGGGCCTGGCTCTACTTGTAAGGAAGGGGAGGATTTTCCCAGTACAGGTAAAACAAGTCTTTCTTCAAAAGGAATGTTGAGTCCCTTCATCAAAGAGTCTGCCACACCACCCCCCCATGTGGAAAGGGGATGATTACCCTTTCCTCCTCTCTCCTCTGAACACCGGGAGACGGTTTCTCTCAGAGAGCCTGCATTTTGCTAGCAGAAACTGAAATTAGTGGAAGCTGTGTGGAAATGTCATTTCTAAGAACGGATGTTGTCAAATGACAGTTCTGCCGGAACAAGAAAGACAAAGCTCTCCTGACCTGGTGAGGACAGCTGTAGGTGCCTATGGTTTGGTGGGGTGGGAGAGAGGCTCACACCCTAAGTTGCTGCCTGTGGGGTAGAGTGGCGGCCACAGTGTCTCTGTCCTGTTTTTCAGACCCCAATGTAGAGGCAGCTGGTCTCGTGAGCTCCTTCCAACTGCAGGGACAGGGAAGCTGTCTCCCTCATAGACAACAAAATACTGGCCCATTCCCTCACTCTCCTTCCAGTTTTATGTCAACATGATCCAAGCTGAAGTCATCTGAAAGGAGGGAACTTCAGTTGAAAAGATGCCTCTGGAGGATCCAGCTGTAGAGCATTTTCTCAACTACTGATTGACGAGGGCTTAGCCCAAGGTGGGTGGTGCTTTTCCTGGGCTGGTGGTCCTGTGTTCTATAAGAAAACAGGCTGAGAAAGTCATGAGGAGCAAGCCAGTAAGCAGCACTCCTCCATGGCCTCTACATCAGCTCCTGCCTCCAGGTTCTTAACCTGTTTAAGTTCCTGTCCTGACTCCCTTCCAGGGTGATGTGGAAGAGAAAGCCAAATACGCCCCCCCCCCCCCCCCCCCCGCCCAGGTGCTTTGGTCATAGTGTTTTATCACAGCAATAGAAACCCTAACTAAGACATGCTCTGATGGGGTTGAACTTGTTTTTCCCAATTAATGGTACTCTAGGAGAAAGGTCCTCCACTTTCCCCCTTGAAATTTATTATTTAACATAAAAAAGACTGCACATGAGTTAGGAAGAAAATTAGGAAATGAATCATACTCGCTTGCTAGGAACTTCCTTTGTTCGCTGCCCAGAAGTTTTTTTCCTGGGAGTCCGTGAGTTGAGATCAGGGTGAGATTATTGAACTTCAGGTGAGAGCTGAGGGGAAATGAACAGAACACAACTCTTAAAAACGTGAAATGTGACTAAATGAGAATTTACTGCGATTCCGCTGAACTTCATGTATCATTCAACTCTTGGCCTTTTCTTTGGAAGTAGAAGCTCTTTCCAAACAAATTGTCAAATAGAACCTTTATAACAAAAAAGGAAGACGGTGCTCAAGTGGCTAGCTGCAGAGAACCCTAGAGGCTGCGCCAGCATATGGAAGACACTTTGAGTTTTTAAAAAACGCTTCTCCCAAAGCAAAACAGAATAAACCGCAAAAATTGGGAGGTAGGAGACAATTTTGCATAAACTAATGGCAAGTTTGAGGGTCATCCCACTTAGGAGAAACTGGACTCCTAACCCCCACAGTAGAGCACAATATTGAGTCCTCGGGGCCACACGATGATTTTCGTGATATTATTAGTTTTATTTTCTCAGGTGGAACTGAGGTACAATGGTTTTCTAAGGCCATGTAAGGCCACTGTCTGGCTCTAATGTTGCCTCATCTAACCTTTGACTATAGGGTGGTCCCCTGGAATTTGGGAGATAGGACTTCCCCAGTGGACACCAAAATCTGAAGGTGCTTAAGTCCCTGATTCATGATGTTGTGACATTCACAATAAGCTATACACCACCACTTGATGTAGGATGACCTTCTGTATACTGCAAATAGGTGTTGCCTTTATTTGTTGATGACTCAAGCTGCTTTAGCCTATGGAAGGACAGAATATAGCTAGGTGAGAAAGCCAAGCAGAGAAAGAACATGGAGTGAGGAGTCTCTAGCCAGATGCAGAGGAAGCAAGATGAAAATGTTGTACTAAGAAAACATATCAAGCCATGTGGCTAAACATAGGTAAAAATTATGAGTTAATTTAAAAGTAAAAGCTAGTTAATAATAAGCCTGAGCTAATGGGCCAAACAGTTTGCAATTAATATTAAGCCTCTGAATGCTTATCCGGGAACTGGCGGGTGGCAGAGAAACGTTCAGTTTATGTCATCTCAGAATTACTTATAACAATTTACACAGAATAAATAGTAACTGGGATACTGTGCTGTTTAGGGAATGAAGCCTATGTGTGTTCAGTGTAGTGAAATTTTTCTCCCAAGGGTTTTCTGCTGACACTGGTGGAAGATGTGGATGTAAAACCCAAAGAAAGCCCCATCTCTAAGTGGGCTATGTTGTCCTGTATGTTGGAAATCACTCAGAGGCTTCCCAGATTGTTTAATCCCCACAGTTCAACACCAGTCTTTCCACTTTCAGAAATATATAGTTATCCACCTTAGGGTAACAGACTGTCACCTAGCAGAATATTCTAGAGAGTCCTTTTTTTAAAATTGTTTTTATTGAGTTACATATTTTTCTCTGCTCCCCTCTCTTCCTCCCTCTCCCCTTCTACCCTCTCCCATGGTCCCCATGCTCCCAATTTACTCAGGAGATCTTGTCTTTCTCTACTTCCCATGTAGATTAGATCCATGTATGTCTCTCTTAGGGTTCTCTTTGTTGTCTAGGTTCTCTGGGATTGTAATTTGTAGGCTGGTTTTACTTTGCTTTATGTCTAAAAGCCATTTATGAATGAGTACATATGATATTTGTCATTCCGGGTCTGGGTTACCTCATTCAAAATGATGTTTCCTAGATCCATCCATTTGCCTGCAAATTTCAAGATGTCATTTTTTTTTTAAATTTATTTATTTATTAAGGATTTCTGCCTCGTCCCCACAACCGCTTCCCATTTCCCTCCCCCTCCCCCCGATCAAGTCCCCCCCCCCCCTCATCTGCTCGAAGAGCAATCAGGGTTCCCTGACCTGTGGGAAGCCCAAGGACTGCCCACCTCTATCCAGGTCTCGTAAGGTGAGCATTCAAACTGCCTAGGCTCCCACAAAGCCAGTACGTGCAGTAGGATCAAAAACCCACTGCAATTGTTCTTGAATTCTCAGTATTCCTCATTGTCCGCTATGATCAGCTAGTCCGGATTTATCCCATGCTTTTTCAGACCTAGGCCAGCTGGCCTTGGTGAGATCCCAATAGAACATCCCCATTGTCTTAGTGTGTGGGTGCACCCCTTGTGGTCCTGAGTTCCTTGCTCGTGCTCCGTCTCCTTCTGCTCCTGGATCCAGCAATACCACTCTTGGGAATATACCCAAGAGAGGCCCTATCATACAACAAAAGTATATGCTCAACTATGTTCATGGCAGCATTGTTTGTAATAGCCAGAACCTGGAAACAACCTAGATGCCCTTCAACGGAAGAATGGATGAAGAAAGTATGGAATATATACATATTAGAGTATTACTCAGCAGTAAAAAACAAGGACTTCTTGAATTTTGCATACAAATGGATGGAAATAGAAAACACTATCCTGAGTGAGGTAAGCCAGACCCAAAAAGAGGAACATGGGATGTACTCACTCATATTTGGTTTCTAGCCATAAATAAAGGACATTGAGCTTATAATTCATGTTCCTAGAGAAGCTAAATAAGGCGAATCCAAAGACAAACACATAGGCATCCTCAGGAATATTAACCTTCATCAGGCGATGAAAGGAGACAGAGACAGAGACCCACACGGGAGCACCGGACAGAAATCTCAAGATGTCATTTTTTTCTGCTGTGTAGTACTCCATTGTGTAAATGTACCACGTTTTCTTTATCCCTTCTTTGGTCAAGGGGCATCTAGGTTGTTTTCAGGTTCTGGCTATGACAAACAATGCTGCTATGAACAGAGTTAAGCACATGTCCTTGTGGTATGATTGAGCATCCTTTGAATATATACCCCAAAATGGTATTACTGGGCCTTAAGGGGGGTTGTTTCCTAATTTTCTGAGAAATCGCCATTCTGATATCCAAAGGGGCTGTACCAGTTTTTACTCCCACCAGCAATGGAGGAGTGTTCCCTTTACCCCACATTCTCTCAGGTATCAGCATGGCGGCATACAACTATAACTCCAGAAGTTAGGAGACAGAGACAAGGAGATCATAAATCCCAGACCAGTCTTTCTCAGTAAAGCAAACCAAAGAGCCGAACTGCTTTACATTTGCATCATGCTTTTCAAGCCCTTCACAGTATCATCACAGGAGTAATCTTCAAAACAATCTACACTGGGACTTCAGAGAAAGCCACAAGCTGTGTGTATTTCATGTGAAAGATGGCAAAAGTAAGCACTTTGTTTAAGATCATGATGTTCCAAAGCAGCGGGGGCCGGCGAAGCAATTCCTGCTTTCCAACCCCAGGCTGCATTCCCTCTACCTTTCCCTGGCTGGGCCTGCTCCCTGGAGGTGGCTTCAGGAGATTGCCCAGCACCAGCAGAAGTTTCCATGAACTCGAATGCTTAGGGGTCACTCTCAGCTGCTGTTCAGTGTTTCAGACACTCCTGCTGTGATCTGCCCTCTGCATAGTCAGCAAAATATTATAGGTGAGAGGTTATCACAGGAGCCTCACTTAAGGAGAAAGACATTTGTCCGTCCCCCCATCTCTTCTTGGTTTACATGGCCCCTTTCAATCAATCAAATGCCAAAAAGAAGGCCTTCACTGGGCCAGAGGAAAACACCTGCCTTCCTTTCTCAAGAGGAGGTTGGAGATTTTCCAACTGGAAATGCTACCAGTGTACTGGCAGTCTGTTAAGTAGCTCTAAGGACAGGACTCTGGGTGAGGGCACAGGGTGGGGTGGGGATGAGGGTGCCAAGCAATACGTTCAGCCGAACCTAACAGCTCAATGTTATGGAAGGCTTTGCTCTCACGTCTCTAGGGATAGCTATCATTTAAGAATGTATATTCCTATTTAACATGGAGAAAACCAAGCATGTCTTATCCTCTAACAAGAGGAATGAAAAAAAAAAAATCTAACTACCTTCAAATACCATAAAGGTCACAGTTAAGCTGCCTGCTTGGGCTGCCAGTCTGCAAGCACACACCAGTGACAGGCCCTGGATTATTAACTGTCCCATGGAAAACACAAGTGATAGCTGTGTTACAGGCAGTTAAGGTTTACTCTGGCTCTGGAGCCTCTGTACTTCATATGGTACTAGTCAGAGCTACGCACGGGTCCTTTTTACATCTCCATGTAGACGGAAGGCTTGATGACTATGCAGCTTCATCTTCTACTACAAAACCATTCCCTATGTGGACCAAATGACTTTGAAATTGCCAGATTACCGCATTATGTTATCCTGAATTGTCCTACAATTAAATTTTTTTCTCAAAAGATAAAAGAATGTTCCCAAAGGACAAAGGATGATTTTGTTGTTTTTGCCTCATCTTCATTTCTTCTTCTTCCTTCTTCTTACTCTTCTTTAACATTATCTACAATTAATTACATAGTACAGATTTTTGGGAGTGGGCAAGATTTCTTGCATTGTGTTTATTTAAAAAAAAAAAAACGTTTTTCCTGCTTTTCTCCCATCATAGTGAAATTCCTCTTGCATTCCTCCCTGCGACTGTCCTGGCCCTTTATCTAGTCAAGCCTTGCCATCTCTCGCCCATTCTCTTGTCCTCATTCTCCACTTAGCATGACTCCTGCATCATATAAAAAGCACACAGACGCCACTGACTTCCAACCTTCCCCTTCTTGCACCACAAGAACATCTTCCACTCTAAAGACGGGTGTCTGTCTGCCAGCGATCCCGGTCTCCTCATCAAATGCCTGTGACATCTGATTTGTGACGTTCCATATGCCAACCCAGTGCTGACGAAGATGGGTCCTGGGAGTCGACGGGAACATGGCTCCATTTCTCTGCTTCTTTGTGCGTGGATCTATTCTCAAAGTCAGCCTAGATCCACAGTAGCTCTTGGGGCTCCCTCCACCCATCGTGTTAATATTATGGGCAGAAGGAGGGAAATGTGGTGTTAAAAGGCAGGATTCCTCCAGCCAATTATATCAAGTACAGTTCAAGTACGCCAAGAAAGAAAAAACCATGTGCCAAGTGGGCGGCACCCAGAAACTAGAGCGGTGCCCGAGAACAATGGTGACAGACTGCGTTTGGAGAGGACCAGAAGA